GATACTACCCCACCATGGATCTGTGCCTACTAGCTCCCAGTGGTAGGAAGCATGAAGAAAATGTTTTGCTTTATTAACGACTATACATTTGTAGTTACCATCATGTGATCCATAGCAGTTTTCGGCAGATTTGGCATTTCCAATTTAATAGCAGTATAAGTATTTAATAAAGGGCATTTGCTTCACTCAAAATAATAATTTTAGAAAAACCAGATGATATTTGTTCATTTGACGTTTCATTGTATCTCACAAAGATTTATACAGAAACCCAATGCATCAGAGATGCTGCTGCCAATAGGCTGGTTAGTACATTGCAGATAAAAAATCCCCATGTGAAAATTAGCTTCGAGTTCATTTAAACTTCCAACTATGGGCTTGTTACCTTTTAATTAGCTTGATTTATACTAATAACTCCCTTTCCCACAAGCACTCAATGGCCTTTTCTTCCTTTTTATCGTAAGGCCACCGAGAAAAACCATTTCGTCCAAATTTGATCAAAGAAGAGGGCTTGTTGTTGTTGTTTGGTTGGTTAATGGGAATACATCTGTTAAAGTGAAATAGGGTGGTATGAAGATCAATATGACGAGAAATTGCCTTGCTGGTGGATAAAAATACATTTAAAAGGAAATGCTGCTGCATTATTCTCCCTGCTTGAAGAAGGAAGCAGGTGGAGGGTGCTCTGTTGAAGGAAACTGCTCAAATGGGAGAAGTCACTCAGAAGGAGGAATCTTTTGTCTGGGGTTGATAGATGCTTGTCTATAGATTGGGGGAGAATGCTCGATCAAGACAAACATTTAGAATATGTTTTTCCAGTTTATAACATATTGTCCACAGACTGCATTCTGGGTGCTTATCCCACTGGTTGAAACACAGAAAATACTACAAAAGGCTTTCTCATGACAATAAACCTCCACCCCTCCCAAACCTTTGCTCCCTCCCGCGTACTTTGAGAACATGCATGCATCACATGTTTAATAAGGGAGATGATATGTTGAGCCCACACCTGTATCAGACCATTGTAGTTTGTCTGGCCACCCTAACACCAGACAGATATGAATAAAGGTGGATGAAATTTTTCGGATGAATAGTTTATTTGGTGAAAAATGCAGTTTCAGCCTACTCAAGACTATTTGTGAATTTTATACACCTTCACTTCATAGGTTTGGGGATTTTTTTTTTCAGGCTGGATTCACAAGGGGACTTTGGTCTAAGGGAGTGGGATATAGGTGGTCTGGCCTAATGGTCACTGCTGAGCTGGTGTCCACAAGTCAAGGACAGCCATGAGGCTGTAGACAGTGCGCAAGGATTGGCGTAATCACCAGGTTCAATAAGCTTGAGGCTGGGGTCAGAGACTGGAGATCAGAGGCACAGCCAGGCTGGAATCAGGGGGCCAGAGTCAGACTGAAGTCAGAAGACAGAGATCAGAAAGCAAGGTGCAGTCTGAAGTCACAGCAAGTCAGAAGTGTATACAGCTGCCCAGACAGCTTCCTTGGGCACCCTTCAGGGTTAAATAATGCACGTGAGCCAATCAGAGGGTCACAGGGTGCTGTCCCTCTGGAGCCTTTGGGTGGTACTTCCTGTGGCACCTAATCTCCACATTGCTCCATGGATGTTGCTTTGCATGGCCTCCTAGTGGTGTTGTGGGAACATCAACTGTCCCCAGGCTCTTAAGACCCAGGTTCTAGTGCCTTACATTTGTTGTCGTTCATGATTCACAAAGCAGCCAGAAGAGAAATAGTCCCTTCCCTTATAACTTTTACCCCAGTGATTAGGGCACTCACCCAGGTTCAGTCCAGGATTCACTCTGTGCCCTTATTGGTCATTTTTATTTGACCTGTTTAATGTGTAATAGTGGAAATTCATCCGAGTATTGCTCAGCAATATAAGTAGTGGTGTAAGGCGCAATCCAGGTCAGATGAATACAGCAGGAACCCTTTGATTATGTAAGTACAGTTATGTATTCATTTTTCCTTAGAGACTTTGAATTGATGTTATTTATGGTTTTTGCCAATTTGGTGCTAGGATTATATCATTCACATACTTGTGACTTTGTTCCCTATAGCTGTTACAATTGATTCATTACTCTGAAATAGGATAGAAGCAAACATCCAAAGGAACAGCAAACCCTGCTGTTCTAGTACAGGTGTACTCAGATTAATATTAGGACTTGTCTTCACTATGGGGGTAAGTCGACCTAAGTTCTGCTACTCCAACTCCGTGAATAACGTAGCTGGAGTTGATGTAGCCTAAGTCAACTTACCCCATGTCTTCACAGTGCTGAGTCGATGGGAGACGCTCTCGATTTAGCAGGTCTTCACTAGCCCCGCTAAATCGATCCCTGCTGCATTGATTGCAACAGCATGGGGAGCCCAGCCCTTAGAATAAAATATCCTTTGAAGCCACAAGGAGCCTTTAAAGTACCCAATCAACTAGGAAGCTGTTGAGGTGCCCCTTTGTGCTAGGTCACCCTTTCTGTGTCGTTCACAATGGCATAGCCTACCAAGACACATTCACTGGGGGGAGATGGGAGAAAACAACATTTAAAATGCAGTACATTTATATGTTTTCCTAGTGACTAACCTCAAAATAGCCTAGAACAGATAATTGAATGTCTAGTTGCAGATCCTACTATTAGAATTTGGGAGTAGATAGAAGGTAAGAAAAATGCCATTGTTTCTGAATTTAGTTTCCCTTTTTATTCCCATAGACAACCCAATCTCAGGGAAACAAAGTCTAGCACCGTTTTAATTTCTGGACTCAGATCTTGGGCTTAAAGATGACTCCCAGCTTTCCCAAGGCTATTGTATAAATGTTGCTAGGTTGTATAACACACCTTTTTGATCTCTTCAGTTGAGACATTTCACTGAATCTGTTTAAAAAAAAAAAGGCCTTATTAAAATGGTCTGGCCAAAATTTTTCCAGTGTCAAAATTGTGACAAAAATACAAATTAAAATGTTTATGAGAAAAGTAAATGGAAATTGATGACATCTTTGCAGTACAACAGAAGTAGAAAGCAGGGTCCTCAGCCCGGCCTAGTATAAATTTGCTATAGGCAGCATATATTCTGTATTTAACAAGCTTTCTAAAACACTGGATTAAACTCTGCTCAGATATGGGAATTAGACTGGGGGAGATTGTTGACTCAGGCAGACAAAAAAAAAAAAGAAGCTTCTGGAACTATTGGAGCCAGTGTGCTACCTCTCAGATAATTATAAAAATGCAGGTTAAAATGCTGGCCATGCCTTATCCCCTCCAGGTTAAATACAGTAAGTGAGAGCTGTCCTGTGCTGCTGGGGTTGTAGTTATTAGAGTATGTAACTGCATCATTGTCTGAGTTGATTAAAGATTATGATTTGGGGGATGGCAGGGAATGTAAAACAACAAATATTTAAAAAAACTGAGGTCAACCTCCCTTTATACTTGGAAGTTATTTGGTGTATCCCCAAACACACAGGGGTGTGATTACATAGGGAATCTGACTGTCTACTGCGCTGAAAATGGGGCTTCATTTAAAATAAATAAATCGGGTTGGGGTAAGTCACCACTCGGGGCCATGCTCTGACTTTTGGCTTTAGAACATTTAAAATTTAACCTTTCATGGAAGTTACCTTCCCCTCCAGCAAGCAGCTCACTGTCTGGTAAACTTGGGAACACAACCAAATTTTATGTAGGGTACACAAACAAACAAACGACAAGACCAACAAGCTATTAAAGTAATAGGGAATTGTGTTTGTGGTCAAAACCTTTAGAACTGTGGCTCCCAGCTGAAACTCCAGCTGGGCCTCCCTTGCAAGTCCAGGCCACCCCAACCTCAGTCAGGTGGGTGCAGGGACTCCTCTCAGCTGGGGACTTGCTCCAGCCTGCAAGTGTCCCTCTAGTTGCTGCTGCTGTCATTGCACTGCTCAGCTCAGTCCTCACCCCTACGTCCTATCAAATCCCCAGTGGACTCAAAAAGAAACCCCCTTTCTCTAAGGTAAGACTCAAAAGATATGGGTGTTCCTCTTGCCCATCTGGGCACGGCTACCCAATCTGGACCCACTGCCCAGCTAAGAGTGGCTCAGTGGATAACCCCACCTCCCCACGTTCTCACACTTACCTCCTTTTTCATATACCTGCAATTACTCCGCACATTTATCACAGGTTGTATGTGTGGCACCAGGGAAACCCCAGGTTGTGCAGCTTTTGGTACTTCATGGAACTCCTGACATACATGCAAATTATACCTGCTAGCAGGTAGGGAGCCACTCAGTTTTCCTGTAGAGCAGGGTTCTCAAACTGGGGGTCGTGACCCCTAAGGATGTCATAAGGTTATTACTTGGGGGGTCGCGAGCTGTCAGCCTCCACCCCAAACCCCACTTCACCTCCAGCATTTATAATAGCGTTAAATATTTTTAAAGTGTTTTTAATTTATAAAGGGGGGGGGGTCGCACTCAGGAGCTTGCTATTTGAAAGGTGTCACCGGTACAAAAGTTTGAGAACCACTGCTACAGGGGGAGTCAGAGTGGTATATGCAAATTAGTCAGGCCGCAGACTCCCGCAATTCTCCCACTTCACCACTAGAGGGAGCTAAAGAGCTGCAGCTCCAACTCTTGCTAGACCTCTTAACCTTTCTAATTGTGTCCACTGAATAGTGAAACATAGTTATGGTGGAAAAAATTACATCACTGTTACTACTGACCACTACACTCACTAGCGCCAGAATTTTGCTGGAGAAGAACACATCACATATCCTAAACAGCCGAGGCATATTCCAATCTTTATTATAACTGACATATTAGTAAACTAAACCAAATTATTCCTTAGTGGGATTTATAATCATGTATAGTCACGTTAGATATGCCATGTTCCTTTGTTTTGCATTATTTTTATATACATTTTATTAATAATTGTTATGACAACTAATGCAAACAACGAGCCATTAATTGCTACTAAAGTCACTATTAATTTTGCCCCTCTAATTGTTTGATTCTATTTTGTGACAGAATAATTTGAAAGGAAAATGAATTCCGCCCTTTCTGTGTGTTTGTTACTTGCTGCTTTTTATGCTCTTGCCCATTGCCATCACTTTCCTCATCACCCCACCTGTGAGGATGACCATAAAGTTACAAATCACACGGAAGAGCATGCACTCCTGAACCAGGCCTGTGTCAAACAAGGTGCTAGCTATGCGGACTTTACATTCAGATTCTATAAGCAGGCTATATTAGTGGAAGCAGACAAGAATGTGTTCTTCTCTCCTGTGAGCATTGCCACTGCCTTTGCAATGCTGGCAATGGGTGCTAAATCGACCACTCGGACTCAGATTTTTGAAGGAATGGGCTTTAGCCTGACAGAGATTCAGGAGGAGGAGATACATGAAAGTTTCCATCATCACATCCACATGATGAATTGTCCTAACAATAAGATCCAGACAAGTATGGGAAATGCCCTTTTTATAGCGGCTGAGTTTAAAGCACTAGAGAAGTTTTTACAAGACGTCAAAACCTTTTATGAAACAGAATATTTTCCTACTAATTTCCATAATTTAAAAGAGGCTGAGAAAAAGATCAATGGTTATGTAGAGAAGAAAACCCGTGGGAAAATTCCGGAACTAGTCAGCTCTCTTGATCCAAACACTGTAATGGTTCTTGTTAACTACATTTATTTCAAAGGTAAGGCATGGAGCACAGATGGGTATGTATTTACGTTATAATCTTTGAATGGCTGATTTTGATCTAAAGCAAAGAAAACATTGTTGCTGCTTTTACTATAAATTAAGAGAAACTGTCATAATATAGTAGAGCACAGAGCTAGAACTGGTCTAAATTGTGCAGGGCCTTGAAGGGAAGGACAAAAAACATGTATTTGATGTACCATAAAAGAGGGATCCAATAGTTTAAAATTCCTTTAAGATCCTTAGTTGGAAGGGACTCTGGAAGGGTAGAAAAGAAATAACAAAAACCAACGGGCAGAAATCAAAGCAAGACAAATTCAAACTAGAAATAATTTTTAACAGAGAGTGATTAACCAGTGGCACAAATTACCAAGGGAAGTGGTGGATTCTCCACTTCTTATGTCTTCTAATCAAGAACGGATGCAATGCAGGGATGACCAGATGATATTCCAAAGCCTGTGTTGTGCAGGAGGTCAGGCTAGATGATCAAATGCTCCCTTCTGGCCTTAAACTCTATCCGAGTGGTCACGTTCATTTATTGTGTTTTAGGTACCTACTGAATATAAAACACCTACAAGAAATCATTTTAATAGCTGTTTTATTTATAGAGCTGCTGAGGCACCTGCTAGGTAAATTCTTCCTAATAAAGAATTAAAACAAGAAGTGACTTGATTCTGATTTCCAGTCCACTGCTAAACCTTGGTGTAAACATTGTTCTGCAAGGGGCTGGAATATTTACAGTCACCTGTCATTATTTTATTTGTTATTCTCAGGTCAGTTTCTATTGCATGTATGAAATAATATGTGCATTTCCCACACTCCTAGCAGTATGGGAAGCCCCAGGGCTGCTGCCTCTTTGCATCACTAGTGGAACGCAAGCCAGCTGAGTGGAGCAGGCTATAGCTTTGCTCTGCTTATCACCAGTCAGCAATGGGAGGGGCATTGCTGGTTGTGGAGAGGGGAGCCCATTTTCCATTCTCAGGAATGGTGCAGCATACACTCTTGGCTCTTGGTCCCTGGAGCTGCAAGTGGGATTGTGCCTTCACCCAGTGTGGTTCTGTGCCCTGTTGGCTCTTAGAGGTAAGAAGAATGAAGACAATATTTGGTTTGACATCTCTAGGTAGCAACAGTTTGATTTGGAATAGTTTGGGGGCCCCCAGCATTACATCAGAATAAATATTTAAGGGACCTATTCTTCTCTCCGCAATAACGCTTTAAAGAAAACCAACAACATTTGTTCATTTCACTTAGTGGTTCTTCATCTTGACTAATAACCCATTTACCCCAAACTCCAGTACATCAATGATGCTTCTGCCGCTCGCCTGCAAAACAGACATCGCTTCATCAAAATAAACGTGGAGTTACCCCCACCTATGAGCTTCTTCCCTTTGAATTAGTCTGATTTCTGCCAACAAATTGCTCTCTCCCTCCACTATTAAATTGCATTCTCTTTGTTTTTGATGATAAGCCTCCTGGGAAAATCCTTTCAATCCTTTCCACACCCGCGAGGAGGATTTTTTGGTGGATGAGAAAACCTCCGTTAAAGTCAGTATGATGCGCCAGGATACCAACTATGAAAGCCACTATGATGACCAGCTGTCGTGCTGGTTGGTGCAGATACCGTACAATGGAAATGCCAAAGCATTATTTATTCTGCCTGACGCAGGAAAGATGAAGCAGGTGGAGGCTGCTCTCTTGAAAGAAACTGTGTGTAAATGGGAGAAATTACTTCAAAAAAGGTAACCCTTTGCCCACCGTTATGCGGCTAGATGGTTGATAGTAATTTAAGAGAGAATTCCAGAGCAAAGCAAAATATTAACGCAGGTATCACAGTTCAGTATTCTCCATGTTGAGTAAGTAGAGTTCTCAAATGATCCCCCAGCTGCCTTAGAGGAGAGCATTGCAGAAGGTACAATTCCAACTCTTCTGACAGCCTAGGATGCAGCATCCCAACTGTTGGTCCCTTAGGACTCTAGCCAGGCCACTGATCTGAATAGGTCTGGCAGGTCCGAGGACTGCAGCAAGTACTGATCTTGTTGCCAGTTGAGTGTTTGAAAGTTCCTACTTCTTTCATGTTGCTAATGAGATTTATTAACTGCCATGTGCCATTGACTCCAACCTCCTTACCCTAATCTCTGTCTCCACTCCACCATCTCCTTGTCCCTCCAACTGCGCCTGATCCCACAGAAGTCTGTTGAAAGGTACATACCAGGGCTCTCAAATGAAGTTATGGACTCAGGAGAAATTCATTTGTTCAATGGTCCAACCACATCTGTTCAGGAGCATCCAGGCATGTAGAAAAGGCTCACCTAGACCCTTCTAGGTGCTCAATCCTAACTCAGACACACAAATCACACAGACAATACAAATGCCACCAGCAGACACCTCAGGAGTCAGAAAAGCACCATGTGGTGTCATTAAATTGCAGGTACTCCATAGTGTTATCTGAGTGCAATGTTTCACCATCATGTTGTGTTCTTTGTTGACAGGAGTATTAATCTGTACATTCCAAAGTTTTCTATTTCGGGGTCCTACGATGTGAAACTCCTGTTTAAGAAAATGGGTATTACTGATGTGTTCTCTAGCCTTGCTGATCTGTCTGGAATTGCTGGGACGTCCGACCTGTATGTTTCAAAAGTAAGTTAGTGAACAAATGGTTTTGTTAGCAGGATTTGGCTGTGCCCATGATTATAAAGTTTACATCCGAGACTATTTACGGTCTCGATTCTGTTCCCACTGAAGTCACTGGCAAAACTCCCACTGACCTCAGTGGCTGCTGGCACTCAATCAGTTTTCTCTAGACTAGGGCACAAACAGGCTCGTTACAGAGAGCACAAGCCTTCATCTGTAGTTTCTGAAGGTTGTTATAAAAGGAACTTGTCCTAGGGAGCAGCAGGTACATTAAGAATGGGCACAAGTACAAAAAAATGGCTTTAACTATTCCTTGCCCCCCAGACTAGAATGTCTCAATAGCAGCAATGACAACCACTTCCAAATCCAGAGCTAGGTTGTGATACACTTATGCACCATTTTTCCTCAAGTATTGCCTCAGATTCCAATGAGACGGGTGAAATCCTGGCCCCACTGAAGTCAATGAGAGTGTTGCCCTTGACTTCAATGGAGCCAGGATTTAACTGTGGGTAATAGGCTACAACTCAAAAGGAGTAAGGTCATCAGAATCTGACCCTAGCTTAGCATTGGGATAATATTATCTAAGTCACATTCGGGACAATAAGCAGAACGTTCTGAGTGGGTTCCACAGCACCTCTGTAAAGAACCCAGTTAGGGTTTGGAGTAACTAAGGTCCTGCAGTAACAATGCACAGTATGATGCTGTACTGAAGAGAAGAATTGTGGGCCTCGGTGCCATGGATTCTTGTCATTGTTCGCCTTGACATTTCTGCTGGAACACAGCTTTGTACTGTCTCAACGTAATGACTGTTTGTGATGCTAAGGAGGAATTGGTGATAGTAATCATTGATAGAAAAAAATCCCTCTCTTTTGCGGAGAACGGCAGCTGACTTGATCCATGCAGGCCTATCTTTTTTTCCTCAGTGGAACTGCAATTGAGAAATAACTGCCTCTTAATATTGTTGGGTTTGATCCTGGAGTCCAGACACAGGGGAAACTCCTCTTGAAGTCCAGGGAAGATTTGCCACTCAGTGGAGCTGGTTTCATTGGGCTGTATCAGTCCTGTTTGTATTCTTCCCATTTCCTAACACAACAAGTTCAATATCAGCTGCTGATCACTGTCCTGTACTCATGCTGTAACATTTGCCTCATTTCCTTGCAGGCTGTTCACAAGGCCGTGTTGAATGTTCATGAGAATGGCACCGAGGCAGCAGCAGCCACCGCGATAGCAGTTAACAAATTTCTTCATCCTTCAACTACCATTAAATTCAACAGGCCCTTCGTTGTGATGATTGTTGATAAAGCCACCCTTAGCACAATTTTCATGGGGAAAATTGTCAACCCGACTATAAAATAATTGAGGAGTCGCTGGACGCATCAGTACTTATGGTGGGCCACCGCAGGCACTTCTGCGGACCACCAGGTGTCAGTGACTATCCCTGAACTTTAATTGAGCTACATTCACAAGCAAATCAACTATATATATGGGAATGTTTAGCCTATAAGCAATTGAGATTTCTTCTCAAACAAAATAACTAAATATGTATACAGCACATGTAATAACAAATCACTGATAATCTGCATATGAAGGCCTATCATCTCTTTGCCCCAGTTTGGTAATTCAGATCATACTAATACATTATCTGAGTCCCTAGGAAAGCTGTCTTTATAAAAGGCTTCTACTAGATCTTCATGTAAGATGTAAAGTTTCCCAGTTCACAGCAGTGTCCTGAATGCCCTTAGTTCTGGGTTATTCACTGGCAGCTTTATCATCCAGGAATCCTGGTAAGGATCACTGCTCTACCAGTCTGTCTCTGGATAGTCCCAGTGTTGAGGTCCAAGAAATTAGCAATCCCTTCCCTTAGTGTTGCCCATGGCCTGGCTGTTAGTCAGCACGCTGCCAAGCCAGTCCTGTCACAGTTCTCTCTCATCAACAGGTTCTCTCAGACGTTAACAGTTATTTCTCCTTCAGTCAACTTGCCTTCACCACATGTTCTAGCTCTTATCTGGAATGTCCCAGAAAGCCAGCGGCTGCTCCAAAACATTTAGAATTGCTCTTCCGTAACATACACTAGGTGCCATGTCACTTCCGCAGTGATTGGCGAACAACTTTTAAAGGCACAGTAATGAAACAGGCACAGAAATTTACATTGTCAATTACTCATTTTTGCAGTTACTGGATAAAATAAATGTTGGGACCTAAACTTTTCACTTGTGCTGACTTTTAGAGAGTCTCCATTCTCTTGCTGTTATGTTTTGTACATCTTTTTAAGCCATGTGACAGGGTCAGGCCAGATGGCTACAGGAGAGTGATCCTACTGGGATCCAGGAAGTGGGCAGGCTTTCCTTCCACTGCTAAAGGATCTCCCCCAGCCTAAGAGGGGGATCCACAGGACCTGGACACCTGCTCTATCGCCGCATCCCTCTGTCGGCTGGCGCCCCGGGTGTAGTCACGGCGGACGAGCCGGGTGCGCACCTTTCCCAGGTCCCACCACCGCCGCGCCGAGGCAAAGGCACGCTGCTGCCCTCGCCAGGCCAGCCAAAACTCCCAGAAGGATGCCACGAAGCCCACATCCTCCAACAAGCTGTTGTTGAAATGCCAATAGGCCGGCGCCGGCCTCTCCGCGCAGAGGGAGGCTGTCATGGTGGCTAAATGATGGTCAGAGAATGGGGCCGGCCAGATACTGGAGGAGTGGGCTCGTGAAAGGTGGAAGCGTGATAAATAAATGTGGTCCAACTGGGAGAGGCGCGATTGATGGGCCTCCACCCGGACAAAGGTGAACGTGAAAATGTCATCCGGGTGGTGGTCGCGCCAGACGTCTACCAGGGAGTGGTGTTTGACTATCTCCTGGAGGACGTCTGCGGCAGCCGGGCACTGCTCGGTCACCGAGCGGTCCCGCTCCTCAAGGGTAGTATTAAAGTCCCCGTCCAGGACCAGGCACTTACGAGGATCCAAGGTGCCGAGGAAGGCGGACACCTGCTGAAAGAAACGCCGCCACTCCGGGCCCGATGTTGGGGCATAGACGTTAACGAGGTTGACCACGAGCCCCTCCATACGGACCCGGAGGTGCAGCAGACGGCTCGGCACAGCCTTGGTGACCCCCAGCACCTCGGGCCATAGGTCAGGGGAGAACAGGGTCGCCACTCCAGCCGTATGAACTGTGAGATGGCTAAAGGAGACCTGTCCCCCCATTCCAGCCACCAGCTGTCTTCGGCGGCTGGATCCTTATGGGTCTCCTGCAGGAAAAACCACAGAGTACCTCCCCTCCCGAAGGAAGGAGAGCACCTGGCACCTGCGGAGACCCATCTTACAGCCTCGGGTGTTCAACGTTGCGATGGGGAGAGGTGCCATGAGGAGGGCTGGGGGGGATCCCCGCCGGCAGGGACACTCGCGGCTCCCAACGGGCTGCGCAACAGTCTGTGACCTACCCCATAGGTGAGTAAGGAGTCACGGAAGAGGCGGACCCGCTGGTAGGCCGCGGCGGCCTGCTTCCCGGTCCTTTTACCCTCCCCCATGAGGGCCCTCGTGGCCTGGAGGATTTGATGGAAGTCCCCCCATCGCTGGAGAGCGAGCTGCACCTTATTACGGGAGCCACTGACGTCCCCAAGGAACTCCGGCAGCTCCTCTCTCAGCGTATGGGGGGCCGGGGTCACTAGCCCCCGGCTTTCCTCTGGAGGGATCACTGACACAGCCCTATGGCCCACCAAGACAGGCAGGCAAGGGGCGGACCCCCAACATGGCACCCGATGGGCTGGCGCCACGCAGCCCCCCTCAAACTCCAGCTCAATGGGGGTGGCGAGGGAAGATAGCAGCCCCTAGTGAGTAGGGACAGGGAAATAGAGAGGCCGCTCCCTGGGGGCTATCCTCTGGGAGTGAGGAGATGACAGCCCCAGGGGCGGCAATGGTATCACGGGAGGTGGAGGGGACAGGGACGGCATTGGCATCAGGGGAAGGGCAGGGATCGGGAGCAGAATCAGGGAGAGGGGCAAAGGCAGGATCCTGGGCCCCAGTAGCCAGGCTGCTGGGAAATGGCCCTTCTTGGTCAAGCTCAGGAATCTGGGGGGTAGGAAGGGGGCCCTCTGTGAGATCAGGCTCTGGCTCCATGGCTGGTGTAGTAGCCACGGCATCGAAAGGTGGACAGCCTTCAGAGGGGTCCCCGCCCAGGAAGGAGGTCAGTTGCCCCGCGCCCACGAGAGACATCCCATGGGGCTCGGGTCCCAGCCGCATGGCACCGGCGGTCGACTCGGTGGGCTCGGCAGCCGTCAGCAGGGTGCCACCCACAGCCGGGCAGATGGAGGAGCCCAGGGAATCCTCGGAGGTGGAAGTGGAAACAGCGTTTAGGGGGAGGAAGCATGGAGAAGGGGGGGCCAGAGTGAGGTCACTCAGATCAAGGCGCGCTGGCAGAGGGTTGTCCTCCCACTGGGTGACCGGGGTCAGACCCAGGGCCTCGATCTCCTTGTAGATGGAAGGGAACTCTCCTTCCACCACCCTGAAGTTCTCCCCGCCAGTGCCCAAAGTGACGCTTGTCTCGGGGCTCACAGGGGCTCCAGATGATAACAGGGCAGGAGGGGCTCCATCGGGGGCCTTGGAGGGAAGGGACTCCAAAGGAGGGGGGTACTGCCCTCCTGTGCTGCCACGTCTTCCCCAACCAGTACTGGTGGATGGAAAGCACCCGCGGGCAAGGCAGAAGGCTCGGCATCGGTGCCCCCCTTTCTGGTCTTCCGGGGGGTTTCTGCATTGGCGGAAAGGAGCGGAACTCGAGCCTTCCGCTTGCCCCGCTTCCCCTGGACTAGGGCCCAGCCCTCCATGGCATCATCCAGGGGCTGGCTAACAGGGGTCAGGTCGGCGGGCAGGGGCAATGGCTCAGGGACTGTGGGAAGCAGCGGTGGGGCGGCATGAGGGAGGGAAGATTCCCCCTTGGGCGGGCCCGCTCCCATGCTTGGCGGTATCCCTGCCACACCCTCCTCTAGGGGCCCTGCAGGATTGCAGGCAGCAGAGGCGGGGCTCTCCCGCTCTTCTGGGTGCGCTGGGGGGAGCACCCCTTGGGCCCGAGTGGGAGCACTGGTGGACTGAGTAGGAGGAGGGGCGGCTCCGGGCAGCCAGGGGCGCTGGCAATGATCGGGCCGGGACTCGGGGGGCTAACGCCCTGCCAGGACTCGGGGGTCCTGGATGCACCTCCTTGCCGGGCCAAGGGGCAGTCCCTCTGGACGTGCCCCATTGCCCAGCAGAGGTAGCACCAGGCCTCCCCCATGGAATAATGCTCCCGGTAATGGGCCCCCTGGTAGGGGACCAAGAATGATCCCTCAAACGCCTCTCCGCCATGCGCCGCTGGCAGCAGTTGAAGCTGCACTTGCCAGCAGAACGAGAGGACGTGACAGAGGGTGGGTTCTTTGCAGCCCAATGGGAGAAGGCTCACAATGGAGATGGGTTTCCCCAGGGTAGAAAGGGCAGGTAACAGGGCAGCATTGGGAAGAAAGGGAGGGACCGATGTCAGGACCAGGAGGACGCCCAGGTCCTCTAGTGGCTCTAGGGGGACGAACACGCCCTCCCACCGCCAGGCCCTTCTCCACCACCTCCTGGGTGGTGGCCTCCGATGCTGAAAAGAAGACAACCTTTCCGTACATTTTGGAGGCCACCACAATGGCCGTGGGTCCCACCACCCTCGCCAACGCCCGCATGGAGGTCTCCACGTGGGGCGAGGCTGGCACCAGGAGGCAACGGACACCGTACTTCCTGGTCAAGGTCGGGAAGGGGCCCCAACTGCTATAAATGGTAGCAGAGGCGGTGGGCAGGAGAGATGATGTAGCGGCAGGTGGGGGGGGGGCTGCCACCACTTGGGCGTACGTCCTGGGGGCTGGGGGAGGGACACCCGCAGAGCTGGTGGAGAGAACAGTGGGGAGGGACGCCGCGGCCAGTGGTGGCGCCGCGGCAGGGGGGCAGCCCCTACCATGGAGGGCCTGGTCTATTTTGCGGGGCCCTTACCCTTCTTTTTTCCCTGGCCTTTCCCGCCGGCTGGGGGGGGTTCCCCAGGGTCAGAGGGGGCGAGGAACGTGGCAGCAGCGGAGGTCATCTTGGTGTCCACCGCCGCCGGTGCCCCAGCGGGGGCAGTGGCAGGTGGTTCGGCTGTGGCAGCGGAGGTGGAGGCTTGGGGGGGGGGGGCAACGGGGTAGCAGGTAGGGAAGGGGCGGTGGGGTTTTCTGGAGGGGTCCCACCCATCTCGTCCCCCACCATCATGAGCAGGGAGGGAAGGGGAGACACCAGAAGGAAGAGGGGAACGGGGAAGCAGGTCGACCACTCCTCCCTGCTAGGCTGCAGGCAGGGAAGGAGGGCCCCAAAAGCGGTGGGCTGGATGGGGG